CATTAATGTATTTAAAATACTAGTTTCCAGACAAAAGTACAGACAATGTAAATAAAAGATTACATATATTAAAGAGAGTACAAAACATAAATTAATGTCATTTAGTTAGTCATATTAAAAGTGATTAGAGTGCATTAAAGTCTGTGTGCATATAATTCATGCATCATTTTATACTAATATAAAGTTGCAAAAGACATGACAAACATGATAAAAACATCAGTTTGACAACCATAAAACACCAAAACATTGTCATACAGTTGTATGTCCCTGTACAACTATTAAATGTCCATCCGTGCATGGAGCTTTTGTTTAATACTCTTTCATGTACATCTGAATTTGGCAGCATTTTTAAGATGTGCATTGATACTATGACTCATTTCTGAGAACTGGACTTTGTTGAGGTGAATCTGAGGATGGTGTTGAGTTTCCAGATCCTCTTCCTGACTCCGCTGCATCATCTACTCCTAAACTTTTGTCCCCTTGTGTATCTGGCAGATGCAGATCATACTCAAAAGCAGGATTAATCTGCCCCTGTCGGTGCCGCTTCTGAACCTCTTCAAAGATTTGAAAAACCTTCAAAGCACACAAACAAAAGCAGCAGGTATTAATGTAAGCATATACTTAACTGAAACTGTTTACTCAGAATGAATAGACAGGAAGTGATATTTATATTACCTTAGATTTAGGAATGAGACCCACTCTGAAGAAACCAATATGCCCTGTTTCAATCTTGGTGCAGTCAACCACAGTAGATGCAATGTTCTCTGGGGAGGCGCCATCACATAACACTCCATCCACCTAACCAAGCAAAATGCACATGTAGTTTATTGCAAAAAAAATAAATAAAAACAGCAGTGCCTCTTGTGTTTAATAAAACTGAAATATTGTCCTTACCTTGTCACCCAGCTTGGCGTAAACTTGGTTGTGGTGAGTTGTGTCTGCCTCGCCTGTAGGGTTGGCTGAGGTTACAGCGATGGGCCCCACCTACAAGAAAATATGTTGTTGTATTTACTAAAGCTGTCTAGTTTCATTCACTTAAGACTTGTATTTTCCACAGCCCTTACCAGATTAATGAGGTGCGTGGCAACAGAACAGTCTGGGTTTCTGATAGCAATGCTTTGTGGCGTCCCTATGTGTTTGGCAGCATCTCCTAAACCAAAAGTGTCCATCCACGGGCCTGTGTGAGACAAAAAAACAATATGATGCTCATAAAACCCCTGCCATGTAACATGAGGCACCCACACACACACAATGTTACACATACAAATATGCATCCAGACACACACATACCTCTGGGTATAACCATGCTAATGGAGGAGGGCCACGCAGCCTCCATAAAGTCCAGGAGCAGAGGACTCAGCAGGTGTCGCACTGGCTCCAGCTGCTTGATGGAGGAGATCCACATCGACATGGGCCGGTCCTGCGCCTGCTTCTTCACCCTAAAGTCAAACACAGCAATTAGAAAGTAATGAGATAGAATCAATAAAAAGAATGCAAATAAGGGCACACTTATGAAAATGGAAACTCACTTGTAAGCTTTGACAACTGCTTCGGGCCTGTTGCAAGCTGCCACCAGCACATAGACGGTGTCAGTAGGCATTCCACATATGCCACCATTTTTCATGATTTCTGCAGATGGAAGAAGAACAATGACTTAAGTTTGTAAACAACTGTGTATTTTTCAAAATGAACATTTATTTATTTTAGATTTTCACCTGCAATCTGCTGGACAGACGTGGCTTTGCGGGCTGGTAGATGCGGACAGATATCTGCGCCTCCTCCGACCCCACTCAGCTTAATTAAAGGTTTTCCTAAGGGGATCTGGGGGGACTGGAAGGTGCTGTTAAAAATGTGCGCCAGGAAACAATAAAAACTGACGAGACCAAAGATGATGGTGACTCCTATGTCATAACCATAAGGCAGCGCACCTACTGCATCCAGCAGGAAGCTAATTAGGATGAGCTGGAAGGTGAGGGCGTAGACAAACCAGGCAACATTTAGAAACAGTGCCGCAGCTGTCACTAAACCGTTAAAAAGCATGAAGCTAATGATCCCAACAGCCACATTAAAGCTTCTGGTCTCACCGTACAGGCCACCGTATCGTGTCAGCCCCCATATTGTCCACATCATCCCGTAAAAAATAAAAACTGTGCTCTCAAAGGTTTTACCTCGAGCAAAAGCTACTGAACCACAGAGCAACTGGAGTGCCCCTCCACCCACCACCACCCAGGGCAGAACAAGCACCGACAGAGGATTTCTGTCACCAACTGTGGCTGTGACTGCAAAAGCAGCTAGCACACTGCACGCATGGCCTAACACCTCTGCATCTGCATACTTGGAATAGCCCAAGTGAGGTGCATGTAGCTCTTTATTGTGGGTTCTGAGAGTAAGACTCTGGATCCTGGTTACTAAAGCCGTAAAGTAACCCTGCCCTGTGGGAATCATTGTAGTGGAGACCATATTAAAGGTAGTAATTAAAAGCATGCCGGCAGAGATTACAAATATGGCTCCCTGTACACCCTGCGTGCCTCCTTGGAAGAAGCCTTGAGGCTGGGCTGCAATGGCGATACAATAACCTGCAAAGAATAACTGGTAGAGCCCCTCCAGCAAGCTCTTCTGACAACTGAACAGAGCCAGGACGGTGAAAAGCACAGAGAAGACAACCGGGAAGGGAACAGGGGAGTAAGGCTGAATTGAGTAGAATGATAGCAGAGCGCTGTAGCCCTCTGCAAATTTCAGCAGAGCAGTGAAGCCATAAAAAGTAGCAGCTAGTGTGTCCATGGCTCGGTAGAAGAGGACACACATGCCGAGCTGGAAGACTCCAGCTGTCCACAACCAGGGGACGTGACCGACAAAGAGCTGAGGGACCACACCTAACAGAGGACAGGCAAGCACAGAGGCAGACAGCAAGTTCATCACCAGACCTACTGACTCTGAATCACTGCACCCATGATTCTGCCCTGTTTTCAGCCCAGCTTTGCTCTTCAGGCCTGTTCCTGGAGGTTCCACCTTACCACGAGTTACGATGGAGAGCAGGCGTCCAAAACCAAAGTACACACCCACCAGACAGACAATAAGGTAGTTAGCAGCTGTGGCAGACTGACCAAAACCTGCAGCTGACAAACCAGCAATTTGATGGGCACATGCTAAGCTAATGCCAACGGCTATGAGAAACAGAACAGCTTTCTTTACAAGGATTGCTACGCTGCCTATGATAAGCAGAGCTAAGGTGAATGCGGCCAGGCCCGGGACCAGAGAGGATCTCAGTTCTGTGGGCTGCAACACCCTCTGCCCCACCAGGATGTACACTAGACCTGAACCACACCACAGAGCAGAGACAGTCAGACACAGTGAGGAAAACAGCTGGGCGTGGGACAGACTGCGCCGGATACCTGAGAGACACAGAGTAAACAGAGAGGAGGGAGCAGGGAGAGAGGATTATGATTTTTTACAACACAAATTAATGAATGAAACAAAACTTGTTATAAACCTTCATCAAAACCAACCTGCGTAAGCTAAGAGAGCTGCAATAATGAGGAGCAGTATCCCCAGTGCAGTATGGGGGATGAAGTCTTTCACAGGTGAGCTGGCATAGTTGTTCACCAAAAGCAGGAGAGAACCTATAAGTCAGAACAAAACGCTGTTATTCGCTGTTAGACACCTGTTGGTAACTGACAACAAACAAACAAACAAACAAACAAACTTAGGTACCATGTCACACTTTTGATAAGAAAGATCAAGCAGGCGTCTGCCTAACTGAGAGGTTTCGCTGTGTTAATGTTTTATTTAGCTATTATTAATAACTAAAACAGCTGCAGCAGTAATAACTGATTTAAAGAATAGAGTTGTTATCTGATATTAGCTCTAGACTTGTTTTAGGCTTTAACATTAGTTTCAACAGCTTTAAACCTATACAAAAATTGTATCAAACTTAATCTATTTCTAGCACAGATCAACATGACATTTAAGGATTAATAAGAATAAGAGTTGGATTTCCATTAGGTAGTTGGCTACTCGTTTATTATTTATTAGGTTTTAGGTTTTAAAACCTATACAACATACATTTTTAATTTTGAAACCAAAATACAGGGAAATTTAATTTAATTTATTTTATTTTTTTTTAGCATACAATTATATGCAATTCCAGAAGATTAAATAACAAAATAAAACTAAACATAACATAAAAGCAGGAAGAAGGATTGTAACCGCTAAATACAACAAAACAAAGAAAAACAAAAACACGAACTATCATATGATAATAAAAAGTTACCGCCAGAGATGCCCAGTACGCCGACGGACACGTGTAGGGAGTGAAGCTGAGCCATCGCAGGAGTGGAGGTGAGGGCGTGTGAGGATGCGCTTTATACGTCTGTTTGTGACGTCAGCACGCAGGAGGAGAAACCTGAGAGCAGGAGCAGCACCTCCTCACGTCCGTCATAGGAGAGAAAGAATAGACGACTGCAAAAATGATCCAGCAAGCATTGTGTTTTTTAAAGTGAGTTAACAGGGAATTTCCATATATCTATCATGTAGGCTGACTGAGATAAAATACACCTGTACGGTAATATTTTTGGAAATCGCAGTTTAGTCCAAATATCAACACTAATTATTCTTGTATTGCGCTAATATTTCATTCATTATTTTATTTATTATTTTTAACCAGTAAAATCTATATAATACAGATTTGGTGATTTATGTAGCTTATATAGATTATATAAGCATTATGATTATTTTCCCTCCAACTGTTTCCTCAAACTGCAAATAAAGACAAGACTGATATTCATATTATACCTGAAGAACCTGTTTTTTTATTCAGTATTATTCAGTATAGTCATAAATTAAATCTTTATCTATCAAAATGGTTTTTTTAAATAGAGCATTGTAGGCTACCAGTAAATGTGTTCAGTAAAATAAACAAATCATGTTGAATCAATATTCCCTGAATACATGAAGAATGACTCAGCATTTTATCTTAACAGTGTTCCTTGTTCATGTAAGGTGCATGATGTCAGCAGGAGTGGGAGGAGACAGAGGCAGAGCAACAGGATAAAGAGTCTGCTTCAGAGTTGATCCGCACACCTCAGCTGAACAGCTCCATCGCACACAGTGTAAAGCCAGACCAGCAACGTATACAAGGTGAGATCTATCTTTGCTGTCTTCTGATATTTTAAGAAAAAAAACACATGTTGATTTTAAACAAAAATGTTATGACTAAATGCAAAGTAGTACAGCAAAAAGGAAGTGGTGAAATACTCTCTTGTGTACATTTTACAGCAGACTGAAAACCCTTCCTGTAACTTTACCAGTGTCAAATGTCGGCAGCAGCAGCAGCAGCAGCAGCCCTTCTGAGCTTCGTGTAACTTTACTGGTGTCAAATGTACTATCTGGCAGCAGCAGCACTTCTGATACTCCTTTGTCACCTGGCTATGTAAATATTGTATGTAAACAGGCACAACAGGTGGCTCAGTAGCTGCACTCTTTGTAACTGAAGGCAAACAAATAGGAGATAAATACTTTATGATGTCAAATGAAAGAAAAGTTGTATATTCTATATACATATCTTGGGTATTCTAGCTAAACATGTGGGCCTTATGTGTGTTTTATAGGAACCATGGTGAAGCGTGTTGCAGTTATTCTCTCAGGATGCGGAGTCTATGATGGCACAGAGATCCACGAGGCCTCCGCTGTCCTCGTCCATCTGAGTCGGGCTGAAGCCAAAGTAAGAGAAGTAAACTTATTACAGTGCATTGTTCTGTTATTTTATGTCAAACTGGATCCAGTCCTATATTCAGAGGGACTGTGCAGCTTTCACGTCTAAGTTTCTGTTCCTTTATTTAACAATACAAGACCATTGTCATAAAAATACAGCTGATCTTAATAACTCTAAATCATAATCCATAATCACAATCCTTAGCTCCAGAAGCCTCTCTGAACTATGTGTTTTTCTTTTTAGGTGCAAATGTTTGCTCCGGATGCAGATCAGATGCATGTTGTAAACCACTGTGAAGGGAAACCTACAGAGGAGAAAAGAAACATCCTGCAGGAAAGTGCCCGCATCGCCAGGGGTAACGTGACTGATCTGGCCAAGTTAGATGTTTCAGCATTTGATGCCGCCATCATCCCAGGTTAGGCTGACCCAGACGTAGAGTATTTTACATTCCTTTCTGTATTCCCTACCACCACTTTTGTGATATGCTAAACAAATCCCATGTGCTCTCATTCAGGGGGCTTTGGCGTGGCAAAGAATCTGAGTGACTGGGCAGTGAATAATAAGGACTGCGCCATCCAGCCAGATCTAGAGAAACTCATCAAAGCTTTCCACAAAGCCGGAAAGCCTCTGGGCATGTGCTGCATCTCCCCCATCCTCGCTGCCAAAATCATGCCCGGCTGTGAGCTCACTGTGGGACAGGACAAAGAGTGTGAAAAGTGTGTGAAACTGTTTATCATCATCAGATGTCTATGGCTATGAGAAAATCTCAATCAACAGCTCAAACCTTCCCTCTCTTTTTGTCTTTAGGTGGCCATATGCTCAGACTGCGGGTGCTCTGAAGGAGATGGGCTGCAAACATGTCAACACGGATGTGGACAAAGCTCACGTTGATGTCAAAAATAAGCTGGTCACCACCTGTGCATTCATGTGCAATGCTCCCTTTCATAAAGTCTTTGATGGAATAGGAGTCATGGTTAAAGAAACACTGAAACTGGCTTAAGAAGTCTGAAATTAAATGCCGGATTTTTATTGTGTGTTGTGTGCTATATCTCATCACTCATCAGACGTTATATCCTCAATGTGTTGTTTTGAGATTTTCAATAAAGGTTTCTCCACAAATAACAATTTTGCCATTTTCTTTCTTCATTAAAATCAACAAATGAAAATCCCAAAATTCTACAACATAACTATATATCTAATAATATTGTCATATAAACTGCATATATTGTATTTGTGCCTGACATGGAAGAGTGGTTTATAATATGGGGCATACAAGTTAAAGCCCACTGAAATGTCTGAAACGGAGGCCAATTTTCAAGATCTTATCTAGGCAGCACTTGTATTATTTGCCAGGCAAGGACCAGCATAGAGATGCATGTGAAGGAGCAATTAACATTTCTAACTACCAGACCTTTACTAATGTTTAAGTGATTTTCATATGTGGAACAGCACTGGTTTTCCTTTTGCTTGTTTGCTAGTGAGGTTTAAATATAATACCAACAAACACATAAACTTTAAAATGAAACACATACACACGATCACATATACATCAGTTATAGCTTCTTATTAAAACCTTTACTCCTTGTTTTTGAAATCTTCTTTGTGTGAACTAAAACCATATTTTCCCAAAAGAATCCATAAATGACTGTAGCTCAGCACAGGAAAACTTAGTCTTTTTAGTTCTTAAAACTAATATTTAATATCAGAATATCAGTACATTGTGCTACATTTTGACATCTTTTGTGCATAAAATATGAAAAAACTGTGTAATGGTGCTTTGGGTGAAAATGAACACTTGTATCAAGTCAAACCAGAACTTGTGATTGAATCTAATACACTAAAGTCTTGTGAGTCACTTTATTATGAGTCATTGAATGCACAGGTGGTGACCAGTTTATTTTTTACATCAACGTGTACTTTGTCCACATCCGTGTTGACATGTTTGCAGCCCATCTCCTTCACAGCTCACGCCTCCAAAATCATTGGTCTCCCCACTGCCAACCTCTCAGACCTCAACAATACAGCCATTACACACAGAGCATTCAGTATAGCACAAGACACCCCAGCCACCCCCTCCACTCATCATTCGTACTGCTACCATCTCGACGCAGATACAGGACTCTGGCCTGTAACTTGCTCGCTATGGCAGGAGTTGTTTTTTTTTTTTTGGGGGGGGTTAATGTGCTAAATGTGCTGCATTAAGTGTTTATTCTTGTTGTTGTTGTCGTGGTGGTCCTATGTATCTCGTATCTATGTATGTATATGTGAAAGCTATGTACAGACTGCGGTAACACATTTCCTGTGAAGGACAATTAAGTATCTATCTCTATTAACTATTTATTTTACACAGATTTCAAAAAAGGTGCTTGTACCTCAGTGACTGAAGTGTTGGATTTTGTATTACCAAAGCCTAATTATAAATAATATACCACCACTTTTGGATCACATTTAAAATGTTCATAAAATCATAATGTCCATGTCCAAAATGTTGAGTAAACAACAGTCAGATTATTGTGACAATTTATTTGAAAACAGTCCAGTTACATTTATATATTGCACAATGTAATGTTCACACACTCTGAATAATAAAACAACACTTTTGATCAAATAATTATAATCAAATAATAATAATAATAATAATAATAAAGAATTTGATTAATCAAGCATGAATTCACAATTGAGGCATTTCAATACAATAAAGAAAAAACTATAGCATAGAAATGTGCACATATTTTCAATAAATTATATTATTCATAAACATAAAGTAGGTATTTGGTCTAAATATGGAATATTTCTGTAAAGAGTAGCTACAAGTAGCTGAAGAATCAAGGAAGTATTCATGCAGTTTTGCTGGAGAAATGATTGAACTCATCAGTTCCACAAGCCAACTCTGTTGCATGAAATTTCCTGGGACGATCAGGATCCTAACAGCAACAGAAAGAATCAGAATCAATACATGGAGCAAGTCTGACACTGGAAATACATACATACATCTATATTCTATATATAGATATACATCTATATTCATGTTTGTCTCACCTGTATGGGATATGCACAGGTGGGCACATAACGGATCACGAACCCACAGCGCCTCTTCTGGGATGTGTTGGGGTCACTGGCATGGACGAGGAGCCCATCATGGATCTGTTACAACAAAATCCAAAATCCTAATTAAGTCACCCTGTGTTGCACTCAAAACCCTGTCATGTTAAGCAAAAAATGACTAAACTCACAGACATCTGCCCGGCTAACAGAGGGCAAAGCACAGCTTCATCAGCCTGCACCAGCTCCTCTGGGATCTCCTGATTCACTGACAGCATGTTTCCACTGCGGATGGCTTGGAGATGGGGCAACATGCCAGCGCTGTGGCTACCTACAGGGCACAAAGAAAAAAAGTAAAGCCTTTGGTGGGAGTCAAGAACATTGTTTTATTATTCAGCTGAGGTCCAACCAGGACAGTGGCTAAAGGGATAAACTTGCATGAGAAGCATAAATGAGCAGCTGAGGTACCTGGGATGACCTGAAGGGCACCGTTTTCTTTCTGTGAGTCATCTAAAGCGAGCCACACAGACAGAACAGGGCCACCAGCAATACCCCAATACCTGCAAACAAAACAATTCTAGTTAGACAAACCCAAAACAAAGCAAAACAAAACCCTTCAGCATTTTGTTCAGTATGTAAATCTACCTCATATCCTGATGCCATGCCACATACGGAAGTCCATTCCCTCCGACTTCAGTTCTGGTTTTTCCCTCTTCATCCCCCTGGTTGTCAGGTTTGAGTGTTGGGTATTTACAGATAAAGCGGGAGTCCAGCAGGATGACGTCAGGGCCCAAAATGGCTTTGATCACTTTTAAGATTTGAGGGTGTTTGGTCAAGTCCCTCACCCATGGATACTGAAGGTGGACATTGTGGAGGCTGTACTGGGTGTACTCTTCACCTGGAAACATACAAACACATAATACACCCATTCTCTGACAAAAAGTGCCACGTCATAAATCATCCTATTTCATTTTTATGTGGAATGAAAATGGCAAGCAAACAGGATTACAGAAATATACAGCCAAAAAAAAACACATTCTTGACAACTAAGCTTCTTCTTTCTCTCTCTTTTTCCTGACTAACCCATGTCCCTTTTCATTCATCCCCTCGTCATCCTCCTTCATCTTCTAGTGGCACTTACCAAATTTCCTCTCCAGCTCAGAAAAGGCATGTTTTGCCTCCCTCAGCTCAGTCTCATTCAATACAGGCAGCGCTGAGAGGAAGCCCTGCTGGTTGTAGATCTCCTGCAGTTTGGTGGTGGATGTAGTCATCTCTGCTAGACGGTTTAGCAGCTGATGCTTCAGGCCTTTTGCTTCCAAAATTTATAAGGTAGACTGTTTGCGGTGGGGGTGGGGGTTTGGGGGCGAACAGAGGGGGAACAGAGAGAGAAATTATATTATTTATATAGTCTGTGAAAGATTGTGTTTTCCATCTAGTTTCTGAGACAGGTTAGACTTTAGTTGTTTATTCAGACATAAAAAGAAAGCATGCCCCTGACCACTCGGCCTGATGGGGAAAACATCTAACCACATTTAGGTGGGTCGCACTGAGCACCACCTTGTTCCACCTACCCTGCAGGACCCAACCCTAACAACTACACCTCAGTGCCTGTGTGAACTGTTCTATTGTCCAAGTCTCTTTGCAAAAATATAACATCTGCTGACGATAGCAGGTCTGGAAAAGAGCATTCCATTCATCACAGTGGACAAAACAAAGACAGAAAACTTTAGCCTTCATGATCTTTTGAGAGAAATATCTACACTCCACCTGCAAAACTTTTAAAGGAAAAAATGAGAAAAAAAAAGTTCATAATTTACTCAAATGCAATAAATATCCATAACACAATGAAATGTGGCAGTATTTTAAAGTTGATCTAGTCCAAAATTCTTTAAATACATACTGTTAATTTCAACTACTGCAATTTTATTCACATTTTCACATAACCACACCTGCAAGATATTAATGAAAACTACTGTAGTATATTGTCTCCATACCTTTCTGCTGTTCAGTCTTCTCCTCTCTCTCTGAGTCTGGGCTCTGGATAATGCCAAGCTCTTCAGTGGCTGAGATTTATATACTACACAGATGACTTCCCAAAACTTCCAGTTCCTTTGTCAGCACCTTGAAATGTAATCCTAATAATCACGTAATTTTACATTTAAAAGGAAACTAAATGTAAGGGAAAACCCATGCCTTAGTGATGCGCACTGCCCATCTATTGTTGCGCAGTCTAGGTGTGATGACGCTTACATACCAGGCTTGTGTTATCTGTACTTTTTGGACTCATGGTATACTTTACCATCAGGAAACTGATACTGATACTTCGAAAGCGAGGCTATTTTTGGCGCTGTCTTTTTTTTTGAAATTGGTTAACGCTGATATGATGTAAACCCTTTTAGCTGGCAGTAACTCATTATTCTGTTAGAACAACGTTTCCAGTCATCACAACCTCATATTCGTTGTTTCTGTTCCTTGTCAGGAACTGTGAACATGAAGGAATGACGACTGATCACAGAACAAAGACATATTTTGTATGATGGGTGTGTTAGTGCCTGAGTGTGTGAACAGTTCTGGGTAAAGGATAAATAACAGAGAGGAAAATCCATACAGTCTCCTTTTACATTAATAGACAATTTTAGCCATATTCATCTTTGTTTAATAGTTAATTTTTGTAAATTGTATTAATTATTTTTTAATCGTTTTTCCTCTAATTATTTTCCATTTATATGTATATAATAATATCAGTATATGCATATTTTTTGTTTCATTCTGTGTAAAAAAAAAGTTAATAGAAAGTTTTCACAAAAAATGGTTTGGGGGAGGAAGGCTGAATCTTCAAGCAAACTGTAATACCCCCAACCCAGTGTCTGAAAATAACAGACTTATGGCAAACATAACAAAATAGTGAAAATACAGCAACTCATTTTGCACTGAGCAATATATCTGCCCCAGATGAATGTAAAAAATATAATTATGGAAAGAGATTATATTTGTATTGCTCTCCCAACAAATACAGACTACCCTCAAAATAAATAAATCAATACACAACCTTCACTTTTCTGCCTCTTTCCCCCTCCTAATAAATTCCCTACAGACCCTTACTTATTTTCTAAGTGCTTTTCTGATTTATTAATAGAGAAGGAGGAAGATATTTAGCAGAGTACAAACAAGTTGTCAGCTTCCTTCTCTGAAAACCATGAGTAAGTTTAAAGATTGTTGTCTGTGTGTTGTCAAGAAACAGCCACATTTTAACTTCCTTCACAGTAACTTGAAACATGTGATGCTGCCTGCTGGTGTTCTCCTGTGTCGACCAGTGGCTGACAAATGATGTCATTCTGATTTTAAACTGTGTGCATATGTGTGTGTGCAGTAGATCAAAGAATAAATCAATGACTAAATGAAAGAAAAGAGATTACATGTTATATACTGTTTAACAAAATACTAAAGACAAATTGATAATCTTTTACAGCCTATTAGAGGAATTATACAAGGGTGCAAGGAAAATAATTCACAGAGGAAAGCCCCTAGTCACCCGGTGGCCACCTCTTGTTGTGCAATGACATGCGTCAGTAGTTTCAATACACATATGGTTCACCAGGAAACATTAGAAAATATTAACTCAGCAGCACACTCAAGAGGCAATCGGCTGCTCCTTAACAGCTGGGGGACCCCCACCCACCCAAATGCAACTTCCTCATCCGACTTTCTGAACACATTTCATGGACTTTTATTGTGTGGTCGTTTTAATGAGCCCAGACACTTTGAAAATAAATAATTTGACAACTTCAAAGTAATTCACAGCATAAAAAAGAAATAATTAAACAATCATCAGAAATTAGCTGTAGGTATGCTTATTTTAATATTTAGACTTTTTATAATTCGTTCTAATGGCTCTGATAGTAATCAATAATCAGAATAAAAAATACTTTAGAGAAAGAGATATAAAAAAAGAAATATTAGATATATTAGATATATTAAATACATATATATGGTACCAAACTTGGCAATTGTTTTTTTTTTTTCAAAGTAATATACAGAAAAGTAATGTAGACTATAATCTGAAATTTCACTGTGCACTTTCATTATTAAGAAGGTTAACAAGCAGAACCCTAAAAAGAGCAATGAGTTTTTGCATGTTGGGCTTTTTCTATAAAGTGCTATTTTTCTCTACACGGATCAAATAAAAGTGCTGTTAGTGAGTGTGACAGAGTACTAAAATAGCATGAGCCCAATTTTACTTGTGGTGTAGATCCACTGAGTGTGTCTGTAATGATGCTATGCTGCTAGAAAAATCAGTTTATGAGAGTCTCATTTTACCGGGACATTGAAACATTTAAAACTCAGTTTACTGTCTGCATGATCATGTTTTGTTTTTGTTCTGAGACCCTCAGTCTGACTCTTTGTCCCTGTTTGGGTGCTTGGGGCAAAGTGGGTGGTGCTGTTTTCTTTTCTCTGCATTTTGTGTCCTTTTGTCTCCTCCTAGTGGCTGCTGTACATTATTGCAGCGGTGGATAAGCACAGGGTCCTTATTTGGAGGCGTTTTCTTCAACAACAGTCGCTGCAGCATCTGTTTGTCAGACCGCTCCCGTCGGAAGTCATCCTCATAAACTTTGAGCTGTAGCAATGGCAGAACAAAAACACGAGATATCATTGAGGCATTTAAGGAGTAAAAAGATAATAATAATAAAATAAAATAAAACAATTAGGCTTTGTATTTGATTATATGGTTACTACAGTATAAACTGCTACAGCACTGCTCTAAATTTAACCATATTTAACTTATACTTTCCACATTTAACCAATCTAACAAGGCATTATAGTCTCTGGTTTGGCATTATTAACAACACTGCATGCCTTATCAGTCTTTTGCTGACTTCAGGTCAAGATTAAACTACAAATGTGTTTAATAATGTATGTTTAAGTGTGAATGTGCATGTCTGTGTGAGCGTGTGCTTTTGTGTATGAATGTGTTCATCAGGGAGCGAACTACAGGGGCACCAGGGGGAGCTTGGTTCCGTTTAATAAAACATGAGCTCCCCTGAAAAAATGATTTGTGAAATGTTTTGGGGGGGTCTGTAACATATTGACAATATACTATTTTTGCCATGCATTTCTATTTGTTATTTTTCTGTACCTTTGTCATTATGGATCATGTGTAAAATTGGGCTATTATTGATGTATGTGTGTCATTAACTGATTATTATAGGTCAGACATAAAGAAAGTAGACCTACATGATTGCAGCTGGCAACTGAAAAAATGAATAAAAATAAAGTAAGCTCCCCTGACAGCCATGGCATAGTTCACCCACTGGTGTGCATGTATACAGACAATTAAAACACTACCTGCTCTTGCAGTAGTGCCACCTGTTGGCGCATCTCCTCCCTTTTCTTCCTTAGCCTCCGGTTCTCCTGCTGTGTGTGTTTGTGGTCGTTATGCTCCGTCTCATATTCTGCTTCATAAATCTGGGTCTGCTGACATAAGACCATCAATATGGTGGTGAGCCAATATCAAAACGACATCTTGTTATCTTAAGATACTTCTTATTAAGCTGTGAACACAATTTAGAACAGCACAGAGCCGCCACTTGGTGGTGTAGTTTACCATGTAATTCAAGTTTAAGCTTTAAGCAAATCTTTCCCTGGCAACAGTGAATTGACATCAGTTCTGCCCTCATCACATCAGAAATGTGAAAATGTTTTGATGCTGTGTTGAAGAGAGCAACCCACCTGACACCTCAATGCGTCCAGCTGCTCTTTTAGGTCCTGCACTTCTTGCTTGGAGTCTCCCAGTGGGGTACTACTGCTCTGGCTTTTTCCCTGCCGCACTGCCTCTGGGCTGGAAGGAGCTGGGAAGGAGGTCAACAGGTTGGGACCTCCAGGAGGATTACCGGTGGGGAATGATACAGGACCATGTACCACAGCACTAAAGCTGCCCTTTAGTAAAGACATAATACAAACTGATGAATGATACTGCAAATATTGAGAGAAATTAAAAAGTACAAACAGATCAGGTATAATATCAGGTATGTACCTGTTGTACAGATGTACGGTCTTTATCTGGATGGTGCATCCTGTTCTCTAGCAGTCTGACGTATTCTTGCAGCTCTTGGTTCTTCTTCAGCTCCTGCATCAACGCCTGCTCATAGTACTCCTTTGCACTCTGCAACCCCAGAAATAGCTGTAAACCTCACACATGCAAACCGCATTATCTATCACTGTCTACATCTGCTACACCACAGCCCACAGTTTTGAAATCCCCCCAAATACTGTATCTCCTCCCACTTTTCAGGGTCTCTACCAGTGCAGTAAACTTCATGTACAAGCTTGAAGTATTGTTGTGTGTTGTTTACCTGTTGGTGCTCAACTTTGAGCAGCAGTCTGCTGTTGAGCTGTTTGATGGCAGTGTTCTCCAGCTCCAAAGCCTCCAATCTTTGCTGTAGACCCAGTGTGGCACTGCGGTACACCTGGTCCCAGTCCTCATTCAGCTTCATCAGCTGTAACAAACCATCACCATCATCATCATCTTGACATAACTGTCATGGCCTCTGCCATCGATAGCACCATTCATGTCATCATTAAGACTGTCATTCTCAGTCTGTCCCCACAACAATGTGGGCATCAGGAAGTGAATTTAGGTCAGTGAGGTAAGACTCGTCACTATACTTGTGTGCTCTCTAAATACATCACAGTTTATATCAGTTGAGAGACTAATTTTTCCTCGTCTCTTTTTATTAAGCAGCATCTAATTAAAATGTAGGGTTGAAAAATGTAACTTTAATGATGATTCTTCACAGCTTAGCAGCAGCTTTCACACGACGCCCACAGTCCTCCTCTGGTTTTCAGAGAGAACTAAATGTAATTGCCAACATCAGTAAAGCACCAGCTTAAGGTGATGTTCTACCTCTTTGTTGACTCTGCGGAGCTCGGTGTTCTTGTTGAGCAGCAGCAGTTTCTCCTGGTCAGTGGAGGTGACAGTCATACTCTCAGTGATCAGAGTGACCTGCTCCTCGGTGGACAGCAGCCTGTCACCCACGGGACTCACATCCTCTGTCCTGCGTATACACACACACACACACACACACCAACACACAGATAAAGTTTGGACATGCACACATAGACAGGGAATATGTGCCATAAATAAAGTCATGATGAAGAACATTAGCAGAGGATTTCCATTAATAAGCAAACACAAATGGGCGCACAAAAGAGCGTCAGAGTACTTTTGAACACCCACTCGCATAGAGTGCACTTACAGAGAATCAAATCGAAGCTATTATGCACACCCACGCGCACACATGCATGCACAGTCACATTATGCACTCAAGACACTCAGACACACTCACACACACACACACACACACACACACACACACACACACACACACACATACACACAGAGTGGTGCATTTCTCTGCATCTACAGTCCTGGCCAATCATAATCTCTGTTTACTATCAGATGTGTTTGCATATCGATAGCCTCAGGAAACAATGTGGGTGATGGAAAAGGCTTATTTCTATTGAACCGCTTGAATAAAAATATTTGCAAAGATTAATTAGTCAAACTAGCTTTCTTTCTACCAGCTCTGTTGTGAGGTCTTGTGTAAAAGGAATAGCGGATGGGGAAGCAGCGGAGAACTGAAGCCCATGAGGAATCTGCTCAGGGAAAAACACACAACTCTGCATGTAGCCCCCAGGGCTTTTTTACACAAACATACTGTAGAACCACTGTAACCTCAGAAAGCAAAGTACTATAAGGAATCACAATCTGCAATCACCTCTCATCCCCCTTAAGGCTAAACTCCCCCGCAAACACGTTTTCATCCACTTACACACAGTGTCCTGCTATGTGAAAACCAGTGTTGCACAATTTTAGGAAGTTGTACTACAGTCAGATGCAGGTCTATTTTAATGCCAAAAGACATCTAAGGAGTTTAAATATTCCTTACAAGGACAATATGAGATGATAAATTATTTGTCCTCTCAAGCTGAAAGGAATAGTTAAACATTTTGGGAAATATGCTTATTTGCTTCTTGTTTTTTAAATTAAAGAGTTAAATGCGACACTCAAGTCTGTCCATTCAATGTAAAGCTTCAATCAGAAGTGGGTTAGCTGAGCTTAGCTTAGCTTAAAGACAGTAAAATGGGGAAACAGCTAAATTGACTCAAACAAAAATCCCCCAATAAGTTGCGGTTTTACAGGGGGTTATGTGTGGGACTACTTCTTGACTGGGAGCAATGATTTTCTGGAGTTTTTGGTGTCTCCCTCACAGACATACAGTGACAACACTCTGTGAAGTCCCAGAAAACAAAGTTTTCACGAGCAAGATAAAAAGTGTCAGTTAGTGAGCTTCAGAGGTTCTGGTAGAAAGATTTTGCTAACTTTGCCCAAAGCGAGGCTGGCTTCCTTGTTTACAGTCTTTATGAAAAGCTAAGGTAAGCTAACTGGCTGCTACTGTCTATACTTTTTATGTATAGACATGGAAGTGGTATCAATCTTCTTATCTAACTGAAAGGGAGTTCCCAAAATAAAACTTATTAAAGCCCCCTGGCCCCCCAAAAAACTATAAAAATACCGGTATGTGGAAGAAGAAGCTCAAAACAAGGGAATTTCCCTTAATTTCCTGAAAAGGTGCTATTTTAGAAAAAGATCTTACCTACAGCCCTACAGCAATGATATGTTCTCTACAAAACACATTAGTATTCTCAAAAGATACATTGCAGTTTGTATGACACTCACATGGCCTCATCAGATAATCAGAAGGGTTACATGAAAGTTTACCCAATGTCAAAATATTTGTTTAAATCTACAGTCTACCATCTGTCATTCCTCTGGGTTCCACAAGGCAGGAAGGAGCTTTCATGAAAGCTGTTTATGGCCACTAATTAGTGAATCATCCACACAGAACCAACAGTTCTGCAGTTTGAGAAGTGTAGGATAAAGGCAGAAGCAGAAACAAATTAAACTGAGCCTAATTTTAGTGGCCAGTATGAGCACAAAATGCTAACATACCCATGTCCAATACTCTGTCTTGGCAAGTCAGCTCTGTGTATTCAGCCGTCCTGTTGGGACCACACTGTGCTCCATGTCTCCCTGATCCAGAGCCTTTTCTCTTTCGGGCTCTCTGACAGCCGAGCTACACTGTGTGACCCAGTTTCACAAAGTTTTCAATCCTATGCCGTCTTGGAAGGACACCAAAATGCCACTGCTTCCCACAGCAATATGGTAATTCACTGTCATGGCATATGATAAAGAGGGAGATAATATCTTCCCTTCTTGCTGGTGGCATCCCTGACAAATATCACTCTTGATCTGTCTGTGTGCAACCGGTCGGTGGCCGCAGTCGGATCCCCTTACAGAGGAGAAGCGTGGACTTTCAATGTGGCTATTTTAAGACAGACTAATCATTTCTGTAGGAAGTGTGGCCAGACTGTTTACCAAGTGTTCCCACATTAAGTGCCATGACTAAGACTAAACTTAAATTAAAAAAAAGAAGTGACCATAGTACACAAAATATATTTCAGGTTTATGGCTTGACATTATAGACTGATATTCACATGTTTTACAACATGATGGATTATCAGTGTCGTGAAATCATGAACTATAGCCCACATCTCTATGACCTCACGGGAAACTCCGCACTCACTCTTTATTCCCCCTCTCATCGAACTGAAATCTTTCATTTAACTTGCTGAACATCTCTGAAATTGTGATTTTTTAAAAATATATTCTGTAGATTGCAAACAGTTTCTAGGATTTCATAGATTAATAGATGATCAGACAATATGAAAATTAAACCAGTCCATCACATAGGCTTGATTAGTCTCAAACTGTATACATAAGAAAGCCTGAAGTTCATGAATCATTGTACAATATAATACCCTAACATGCCTACAATAAATACTACCTTATTTCTTCCTGTATAATGTTTAACATTTGTTGACAGAAGTGTTGATTTAACTTCATGGTATTATTTCAGGATGTAGCTGTACCTTCATATTAAAATAGCTATAAATTACACTATTACGTGTTCCTGTTTTTGTGTCCACTTGTATGTAGAAATGTGGAACATACATACCATAATTCTTCAGATGATTTGTGTTCCTGTTGGTTTTGAGGGAGGCTGCTGTCGCTCTTTGACAAAGTATCTTTCTGTGTTCCTGCTGCTGATGATAATGACGAGAAAGATGACAAGGACAGCATATCTCCATCCATGGCTGATCAAAATCTTCAAATCTTCATAAAGTCTAAAAGAAAATTAAAACGCTGCTACACAGACAAGGCAACGTTTCTCTTCATGAAGCCTGTGCTAGGCAAGTGGTGGAAAGTAAATAGTGTCATCAGTATTGATACGTAGCAAAAGAGGAAGTAGCCGAGGCTTAGAGCCACATGATGCAAAGTTATGAGAATAGGAAGTAACACTGACAACTGTTTCAGCTTTATGTTGAAGAGGGCCGGCCCCGCTTTGGTGAATTGTTTAAATGAATTGTCTGATTGTACAGTACTCAAAATGTTTACTCAGATGACATGTTATTTGGTTTTGACATCATCTGCAGAATCTGGGAAACTCCACTCAGTGCAGGAAGTGTGTGTGTTCATGCTCATGTCTGTATGTCGGGAGACTGTTATCTGTTAGCCAAGCTGTTGTCTTATGTTTTTAAATGAGCAAGTCTGGAAAGTGGGGGAGCTGAATAGATTTCTGCATGATTATATATTGCAGGACATGTAATTGATAATAATTGTAATGCATACATTTATTCATGGCAAATAATGATAGGGTCAGGCTGATTGCATTCACCAGTCTGCTCATTACTGGGATTGAGGGAAGTGGGCTGCAGCAGGTTAATTAGGAAATCACATGTTCATCCAAGGGACAATCAAGTAAATTAAAGGATTTTTGTTAATTATGTTCCTCTTAGTCAGGCTAAGCTGTCTTTTATTAACACTAAGAAAATTAATTTGCCGACCTCGTTTGTTACACATTCTCCTCCACTGACTGACTCCGAGAGATTCAAGGCCATTTGTGGTTAACAATTTGCCTCTGAAATAGGTACTGCATGGCAAAAAAGAGCTGCAGTTCAGTGGCTCAGATGTCCCTCTCTACAGCTGATGAAGATCTCTCATAGTTAATGTTGATTGTTCAAAGGTAAATAGAAGCAAATCTCCTGCACCTTTATCAGTAAAACCTGTCTGCATCACTATGCTACATTATGTTTTCACTGGGAACCTGAAGGCAATATTCTGTTTAGTAAGATAAAAACAGAATTAGATTTTTTTGAAAAAACACAAAAACTGAGTTGGCTATTTACGTATGAAGTGATTTAATTAGCCAGTTACATGAAGAAGGCCTGGGACATGAAGAAAAAAATCCTCTCTACATTTTAGCTTTGTATTTTTTTCCATCTAATTTTGTAAATTTTGTAAAGAAACATATGTTGAAGTAGAAGTGCACATGATGTTATAATTAATGTTTTGGTTTTATATATATGTTACTGGAAGAAATCTTGTTATATTTTTTAGATTTGATATACAGTGCTGCCTTGTAATCCCATGTGGGATGGGCAAAATAGTTGGCATGACAAGACTTCTACAGCCACACTAGCGGCTCTGTAAGGTTGTGCTTAGGCCCAGGGGTGCTTTGAGCTAAAGGTTCATGTCAGTGTGGTAATGCTCTGGGTGACAATGCTAGCATCCTGATTTTTAGCAGGTATAATGTTTACCATGTTCAACATCTTAGTTTGGTGTGTTAGCATACTACCGTTTTGTAATTAGCACAAAACACCAAGTGCAGCTGAGGTTGATAGGAATGTCAAACAAATGAATGATGGCTGATGATGGCACTAGAAAAAAAGTCAGGGGATTCCCAAAGTGACTGATCTTGAGGGGGACAAATGCGTGTAGCAAATTTTATGGCAATCCATCCAATGGTTGTTGACACATTTCACTTAAAACCACAAATGTGAACATCATAGTGGTGTTAGAAGGAAAGTCAGGGGATCACCACAGTCATTAGTATTCATCCTCTGGTTACCATGGAGTCCCTAAAGCCAGATGAATGAACAAACGATGTGGTACTTTGATTCACAGTGAAAAAGATAATGTAGTAGTCATAAATGAATAGTTTACATTAAATTACTGATCCTGTTTCCTCGTTTCAGACAAAATGGCTTTTACACTGGTGGAAACTAGTGTTGTTATCTACTGTAGTATCTAGGGGGCTGACTCAAAGTTTCTGTCATTTTACCATCTGATGCACCACCATGAGATAAAAGCAGGAGAGGCAACAAAATGTGTCAGTGCCGCCCAGTAGCTCTGACTTGCTCCAGTGATTCCATTCACATGCCTATGCCATCTATCATGGATGCCAGTCAAAGTATTGCTGTGCCAAGCAGAGGCTTTGCTGGGAGGCCCAACGAGGGAGTAGCAATGCAGTGCCTTTATTGACCCAAGCTTCTGTCAAAGCCAAGGACAAATGGGCTTCTGCTCCACGGGGGAATTGATTTTTACTCTAACAGGAGATCGTGGAGAGGAATAGAGAGGGTCCCATGAAGTGAGGACAACTGAGAGGTGGATAGTTCTCCTGCAGACTGCCACTCCTGCATGAACCTGAGCTGAATTCTTCATTAGCAGCTAAAAGGAGAAAGTCTGGGTTTTTGAACTGGAATGGACCAAATTAGGCTCTTAAGCACTAGGTGTCTTTGTAGATCGACTCTAACAGTTGCTTCATCGCCTGTTTTGTCTCCAGCTGCAATAGTTTGACCGACTCAATCCGGGTCCATGATTGAATTTGACCAACTGTTTCAGGTTCAGCGACTGAGTGCATCCCTGTATGTCTCAGCTAAGATCTATCAAACTAAATGAGCCCTGGTGTGTGTGTAGGGTTTTTGTGTCTCAGTTGCATGACTGTAGGTGAGCCTGTGAGTGGAAGTGGAAGCTCTGGAGAATTTTTGTCAAAACCTAACAATGCATTAACTTGTCATCTCCTGGTTTAAAACAAAGGGGAATGACACAAAGGGCAGCATACATGCATGCTTGCATTCACTCACACATGCAAGTCCAATGTCACTACTAGGGCCACTGCAGTAGAATTGCTTATATTAAACTACTCTGACAAGCAAATCAAGAAAAGACTGCAAGTCAATTTCATGTGGCTCCACAAAGAGCAGTTCTACATAACAAAACTATTTTCTATGCACGGCACACTGTCACATTGATTATATTTAGAACATATAGAAAATATGTTCTTATTTGCGTGCATAACATAACAATGAGAGAGAGAGAGAGAGAGACAGAGAGAGAGAGAGAGAGAGAGAGAGAGAGAGAGAGAGAGAGAGATATGAGGCATAAAACATTTGTCTCCAAAGAGGAAGAATGTGTTTGCATGCAGACAAAAGCTGAAGGCCATTTTAAAATGCAGAAGCTGTCAATAATATAAGAGGCTCTTTAATTAAGCATATGATGTCATGCTCGACCTTCCCCTGATGGTAATATTAGCATGAAAACAAGCTGTTTAAAAGCACGAAGCAAACACGTGCTGTTTCAAGCTTTGAAATTCCCTTCGGGTCAGTGTATCTTGCATTTCATCAGAAATGTTCTGCACTAGGTGTAATAAACAGTAGGGGAACAAACAGGGAGTCTATTAAGTGGGCAGTGTCTCTGGGAAACAGAAGCTAGTTGTACAGATAGAGAAAAGAGCAGGTCTAAAATGATATTGATCCCATGTAACGAAGCCCCACTCTTCTGTGTAAAATTTCTGAAGGTACTACCCCACAACAACGAAATTCACACAGACCTTTGTAGATTTACAGACATAAAATGATTGCTACAAAGTCAGAGACAAAAGAGACCATAAATTATATTAGAGATAAAGCTTGAAGTGTTGACAGGCTGGCGGGTACAAGGGCTGACAGAGAGGGATCAGCTACTATGTCATGTACTAATAAAGGCTGAATTTAAAAATATGATAACTTCAGAGCTGTACAACTGATCCACCCCCTCAGTTTTATGACAAAAAAGACCAGAGACATTGGGAGTAGATCTTTGGAGGGTGAAAAAAAGTTATAAAGACAACAATTCTTAATTTCAGGTGATTATACACTACAAACAAACTCATATCAATTATAAATTATATTCCATTTCTGCCAATAGATCCTCCTAAATGTTACTTACTGGACCTTTAAGGCAAGAGGCTCAAGTCTACATTAGCTGCTACTAGCAAGACACAATCTGTTTCAACTGTTGCATTGTAATGTAGGCACCAGGCTTTGACAAAAAAAATCAATTTTGACCTTTTTCTCTTTTCAACCGTCAACAAGTTTCCAGTTTGACATCAGTGAATCTATACACTTTGAAGGATAAGACTGGTAATATTTAATATTTTTCTTATTGTCAAATCCCATGAAAAGTCCAAAACCAAAAATAAATTGGTCCTGCTAACAGGTATTCTTTGTGGCCTAAGCCATATGTGACTTAGCTCCATCTTTGTACAAACATGGCATGTTCCTTCCATACTGTTAAGGTAATACAGGGACTTTAGATTATTTTGAGCCCATTGCACCCAATAGTCACACATTAATACTAACTAACATAGAAGTGCACTCTTTACTTTTGTCTAGTAACATTTACTGTTACGTTAACATGTTATTAACATATGAAGCACATGAAATAAAATATTTGTGGCCTTTTTGTGACCGTCTCCAGTAGGAAGCAATGGGCTTGGGCAGAGAGCCATGACAGCACGAGGAAGTTGGAAAGTATTGAAAAGTGGACTATTGAATTGTTGCTTTTAGTCTTTTCATGTGTTTTCTTGACAATAACAAAAAATATATAACAATGGCAACCTTACCTTTGAGTGGTGCTTTTGTGTTCTCCCGAGGGATTTCTAACTTTACATGCAGAGTCCCTTGTGACTACATCTGGAAAGCCCTGTGCTGCAGACAGGAAGGCAGACTGAGTTCAGCAAAGTTTTAATGTGACTCTATTAATTTGGCCAGTTAATCACAAATGCTCACTATTCTCCATTAACTAAGCTTTTAATGCTCCCATTAAAAATTAATGTCACCCTACTTTGCACTTCAACATGGGTGAGCTCATTAGAGACAATCTCTGAACATGGCTCCTCTCTGCCTGGCAATGACTCAATACATCAAAGCCCTGGTTTACTGTCTATATTACATTGTTGGGGTAATCTGGTCCCCTTAAATCTGTAACCCAGCCAGGTCCACCATAATCTCCTTGTGTAGTCTCCATATGAAGTTCCAACATCATATCATTTTTCTTGCTCTTTCTGTCCTTCCTTCTTTCTTTTTTCCTATATTTCGCAAGCAGGATAGAGGGACGAAA